ACTTTTAATACAAGTCATTCCTTTTCATCATCAGTTTCATCATCTAAAAGTCCTTGATATCAGGTCTAATAAGGCTTGATCCAAGGCCAAGACGTTTAAGTCTTGTTCAATATTTTTATTTTTATTAATGTTATAAATTAATTCGAAAACGTTTTTAATTTTTTTTTTAATATTTTTAAAAACTTGTATATATTTTTATAACGCCATAATTACCTTTTAAAATATTAAAATTTTATTATATATTTTTTTATAAAAGATAATATTTTAAATAATTATTTAATTTATTAATATAAGTTTTAAAATTAATATTAATACGTAAAACCACTTTTAAAAATCTTTAATAATAATTAACCTTAAACGTTTAACCTTAATAAAAATAATAAACCAATTAATTATTTAAATTTTCCAATTTTTAAGTACTTTTATAAATAATGTTATAACTTTTATATAATCATTTTAAATTTTATACTTTAATACGTATATATTTAAGTAGTTTTTTAAAATATTATATATATCTTAAATTATATATTTAAATTATTATATAATTTTAAAATAAGGTTTTAATATAATTTAAATAATTAATTATTTTAATTTAATAATTTCTTTTTATTAATTATATTTATTTTTAATACGTATATATGCGTTTAATTTTTTTAAGTAAAATTTTTATAAAGCTTTAATTATTTTTTATATTATTTAAAAAAGAAATGGTTAATTATTTAAGATTAATATTATTAGCGGTTAATTTTTTAATAAAATTTCCGTTTTTATTATTACTCCCGGTTAAGATTTAAGTAAGTCGGGTAGTTTTTTATAATTTTAAATTTAAAATATTCGAGGAAAGGGCTTAAATTAAACCATAAATTTTCTGTATATATCGATATTATTAAAATTTATTTATTTTTAAAACTAATAGTTTTAAATAAATAATATAAACGTTTTATTTTATACGTTTTAATTATTAAAATGTTTAAGTTTAAAATTTAATAATAATATAATAAAATTTATAATAAAATAAATAAATAAATAATAATTTATTTAAAATTTATTTTTAACGCGTATATATTATGTTATATGGTATTAGTTAAAATTTTATCTTTAAAATTTATATAATTTAAATATATAAAACTTTTAATTATTATATAATTAATACGTATTAAATAAGTATTATATAAGGTTTAATTTATTATATTATTAATTATTTAATTAATTAATATAAAATTGTAAAAACGCGTATTACATTGTTATTTTATATAAGATTAAGGATTTTTAAGTTATTTAATATAGTTAATTAATTTAATAGGTATTGTATATGGGAGTTTGGGAATGATATGAGTACCTTAAAAATCCACTTGTAACAGTAGGTACTTCATTTTATAGATAAACAAATGATGTGAAACTATTATAGAGTTGCAATATATTAGGTATTTAATACTATAATACTATTGAAAAATGAGCTCCTTGGATTACATACAAGATCTCTCATCGTGATGTTTGCTTATCTCATTGCTGCCCGCGCTCAGGCCTTTACGTTCTTACAAGCCGAAGGGTATGTGCAGAAGTTGATTCACAAAGTGATTGGCCTAATGATTAATTGCGTCATCCGCCCAATACACTTGTGAATCGAACATAGCAATATACACATAAGAAAGGTACCTACCTATGCTATAGATTATCACGGAGTTAGCCCTGGTAACCTAGTTCACTGTAGGGCAACTAATCGAGTCAAGCAAGGTCGTTGGACTGAGATAAACTGGTTCGTATATCACCAGTTAAGTCTCAATTTCATGTTTCTAGACTTTAGTTTAGGTATATGTAACGTAGCTAGGCACGTAATCTAAATTGGCTTCATAAATCCGTGTATAATTCGGGCATCGACTCCTATTCTCAACCGAAGGTTGTTAAACAGCAACCCTATTAGAAGTGGAGGCCAGATCAAGTTCTTTTCGAACCTCATATATCAGGGCTTGGTTCCTGGGTCATCGATCCGAACCACTACCTGTTCGTTATCAGCAGTATAAGCAAGCCAGCTGAAGCGCGTCCCGGTACGATCGACATATTCCTGCCACGCACGATGCTCGTCGTGTTCCCAGCCCGGGAAATTAAAATACTCGTCGAATATTACAATTGACCCAGCTACTAGACGTGGTCCACAGTGCTCTAGAACAGTCACTGCTGAGGAGTATAGATCGCTGTCGATGTGGAGCAGGGCGATGGGTCCGGGGTGCTCAGCAAGGAAGGGCACCAAGGTCTTGTCGAACCATCCGACTACTAGTTCGGCGCCGGGCACCTCAGGTGGGGCTTCAACGGCGAAGGCCCCGGGGCGGATCACCCAACGCCAAGCCTCTGGAAGGCCTTCAAAAGAGTCGAACCCGTAAACTCCACCAGACCGTCTGGCCGCAATTTTCCGAAGAGTGGAGCCTTGATAGACCCCGAATTCGAGAGCCATGCCTTCTTTCGGGGCTTCATCGAGAGCATGCCGTAGAGTCTCGTATTTATCGTAGTAAGGCATTGCATCGGGAAAGTTCTCGTTGACGAACCGAGCACTCGAGGTTGCTGCATCGCGCCATGCAGCTTCATATATGTCTCGTCTGTTACGATGATCGGCCTTGTTCCGGTCCTCAAGTATATTGTCAAGACGTGCGGCAAGCCACTCTTCATGTTTCTCGAACCGTGCGTCAACGCGGCTCTGAACAGTTTCATCGACCACCGTAGTTATGTACGTGCGTAGACGCGACCATAGCCTAGTTACGAGTGATACCCGGACACGAGGAGGGGTAGTCACAATGTTATGCTGCTTCGTGGATGTGGTATGATTTGCTGCATTCTCTTAGTAACAGGACAAATGACTGAAAAATAAGTTACTGATGGAGAAAGAAATATGCTCATTGGCTGATAGCACAACCTCTTCCGCCTTACAGCGTAGGAGATAGCTTTATACAACCATCATTCCGTCTCGCCCAGGTGTGAACTGATACCCTATTGTGTAGTATTTTGGATATCCATCCAAGCAAGAACTTACTTACCAGCCATTAAACTACTGGACCGAGATGCATCGGCTGCGACCGTCTGCTGTGTTACCGGAGGACGCATTGTGTCGAGTAGTACATGCAAACGATGCTCTTATAGACTGCGGTTTAAAGTGTTCGAGTTGGGAGGAAGGTTACGGAATAAGGCAGTGTGACTGATCACCTTGGAGGTCATTTTCCTACGTCTTTCAGCCCTAATATAGGTCCTCGTATGACCGCGTAACACCTCAGCCCAGCCTATAGTACTTTATCGTGCTTAATTTGCCCGAGTTACCACCGTGCTATCCGATCAAGGTGCCGAATGCAGTCATCGATAGCTATGGTACGGCAGCTATATTAGGAGCCCTACGACGGCAATCTACCGTGGCAATCACTATACAAAGCCAAATACACCGGAGAAAACATGGAAGGAAGCAGGCTGTCGTTTGTATTGCCGATCTACACACGACGTGATAACCAAAGTGGGGGTAAGAGAATACTGATAGTGTAAAAGAAGGTAGACGCGGTCCGTAACGTGAACTCGCTCTCCGAATGCGACTCACACGAAGGAGAAATAGGAGCGGCTAGATATATTAATGTTTATGTTATTGGATAGGACTTACGAGCTACCAATCGGAATTCAGCCCTTTTTTTTTGTATGACGCCAGCCGCACGTCGCATACTGCATTCTTCAACGGATCATTTGCAACGCAGTTGCTTTACGCTGCCTGGAGAATATTATACTTTTCCTCATGTCATCAACCTTATTCGATGCATGCAAGTCAAGTTAGGTACCCTAGATACTTAAGTTGATTATTAGTGGTACGATTGGAGTGCTTATGGTTTTGTTATTTAGGATAAAGTCATCTTCATGTTCGGTAAGCAGGCTTAGCGAATGCAACACAACTCCTGTTCCATAGACGGCTATTCGAAGATGCAAGGTGTTTTGGGGTTTTCACATTTTGGCGACTTTTGGTTCCTCGCACATCGTACATAGCCTAGTGATAATCAAAGAACTTAGGAGCTTGTAACTGAACTACATTCATCATAATATTTTCTTGTCGAACACGTACTAGATACCTATGTTTCGATTTGACTTCGAAATAAACTAGCGCTTGAAGCAAGAAACAAGAAGATGGTTATCTGACATAATACTTCCCAAACATGTTCTTGTTCGGGGAGATTCCCTAGAAAATTATACGGCATAGGGGTGATATGACCCAAATATTTAACTATATTAATAAGATCTTCTATGAAGAATTCTTATATTGAGATTTAATACTGGAAGCTTAACAGGCTTTCAGTTCAGTTCAGTTCAGTTACAGTTTATGTTCTAAGTATGACATTCTTTATACTGATATTATCTCGAATTGGAAATGCCGGGTTTGAATTAATATTAACTTGAACATATTGCAGTGCAATTCTGTTCTCTCGTTTTCCTAGTATTTACTATACACAATATATCATCCCATCGGAGATAAGAACGAGCGGATTTAAAGTTAGGGTAGTACCAATCTCTAGAAAACTATGGATAGGAATAGGGAAACATTTTGACAAGAGTTTTGGTAAGAAGGTTACCATACATAAAGACCTGCATGGAATCCTACTTGAGAATTATTGGTACCGTAGCTTCTAACCGGGATACAATTGAACCAAATAGCGGAAATGACACCGCATGTAACATCATCGGCAACTTGCGGTATGAATTGGTGTGTACATCGTACGTCGCTTACTATGAGACTTTTGCCATGAGGCTCTCGGCAACTGAATGCACTTATAGAAGCTCACCAATTCTATTACCTGCCCTTTACTTTTAATTATCAAGGATAAACTTTGCGATCTTAACATTGGGCACGCACATGATTCTAGCTGTGACTAATCATTTCCCATGAGATAACAGCGGGAAGGCTGGCTTTGACACGAAAGGGTGATGGAAATCCCCATAAGTCATATAAACAATTCATCCTCCGATTTCGCTATAGACCGACCGTAGTATAACCTGATCGACATGATTGTATTCGCACATAGATTTTAATATTGATCAAGTACCTAAGAAACTCCTACTTTTATTTGATCCGTACCAGGTTTATTTGAAAGGGCTTTATTCAAGTTTTGGCTGGCCCTTTAGTTGAAAACATTTCGAGAAAAGCGATGCCCCTATTATCGGCAATAGTCTGCTTAACTATTATAACCTTCTGGATAGGTACCTAGGAAGAGGTTATAAAAGCTACCTTCAAAGGCTTAGTTAGATAAGGTACCCAAACCATCACTTCCTGTAAAGGTTATTTGAGCTATAACTTGCAGATTTTATGATTGCGAAGATGTGAAATAATAACGAATAATCTTTCAGCATATTGTTACTGTATCAACCCAATGTTCCGCCTCATTCTTCTTACGCTTGAGTAATGGAACGCGCAAAAGGTAATTCAATGATTCGTTTAAACTGCTTTCTCTAGATTCTAAGCCAATTCGGTGGAGAGAGAACAGCTTTTTGAGAATTGGCATTCGTCGTGTTAGAAGAAATACTTGCTTCTGTCATTTCTAATCTTAACCCCCCCTTAGTCATTCCCAGTTGCAAAGAAAGAAAAGTACAACATGAATACCCCTTTTTACTGAGTTAATGGGGAACATGGTGGGGGTTCAAGTGGGCTGTGTGTATTGTAGGTGGTAGGTACCTATGTAAGTGCGTGTTTATTTACCGGGTTAGGGGCATCTTTCGATACCTGAGACTGTATAATAATTTTACACTAGCATCTAATCTCAACTAATACACTACCTAACGTACGTACTTAGACTCCGACAACTTCATGTAACTAGGTAAGCATACCTACCTAAGTTATCATAGAGCAGAAAGGCATAGACTTATCCACAAACGCCTATGCGGCTTGTGAGTACCTAAGACTAACGGTAACCCCTCGCTAATGATGAATCAAGTAAACAATTTGCGATAGCTAACTAATCTGATAACAATATTACAACTTCCCAGGATATATCTCTTCGGTTAAAATCTCATAGAACAATGCATAAACTGACTATTCCTGCAGCAAGTTATAAGTTCAGTAGCCCTTTAGTTCGTCCGTCCTCTGAATACCCCATCCGCACTTAATGGCGCACAAGAGACAAATACGGTATGCCCTCAAAGAACTTTCTGACTGTCGACCCGGTCTTGCGTCGAATCTTTGGCGGCGATGCTAATGTCTGTGGGGTCATCGTCATATTATGGCGGTCCCCGGTAGCCCTACGTGCATGTCTGGACATCATAGACGTCCATCCCCGATTTACCCGATATGGGCGCTCTCGGTTCGTGGCTTGATGCGCTGTTGAGATGGTATTTCTGATCGCCTCGAGATTTTTGCCGAAATGCTTTAGGTCGTACAGCTGAGAGACAAGATTCTCCACGCCAGCTTCATTGAGGACTTGATACTGCAATTGGTACTTGTTGTCTATATTGCGCGTTAAGACATCCACGAGCTCCTCATGCGCCCGGCGATCGTCCAATAGATCATCGAGGCGCTTTCTGTTTCCACCGACCTGGACCTTCATTTCCTCATCCCTAATAAGCATGTCCAGATACTCGAGCGTTGCATCGTTGTAGGGGGTGATAGAGTATTTCTTCAAGAAGACACCGAACCTGGCGGATGCCTTCTGAACTATCGTATGCTCCTCCTTATATTCGGCGATGAGATTATTCAGGCCTTGAATTGCTGCTTCTCTTAATACAACGTCGTCAGAGTTTGCTTGGATCTGACGTTCGACTTCGGTATCCGTCACTGTAGCCATGTATTCCTCCAGTTCAAATAGGACGTGGAGGTGCGATTGCCAGTGATGGGTACATATGCCACAGTAATTTCTGCCACCAAATGCGGCACACCCGATAAGACTAGGATGGGCTACTTGATCAATCTTAACGTCGTCGAGATAGCAGATAGGATGGCAGTGTGTCTTGTATACAGTGACAACCACGCCTCCCCCATCATCCCTGAGCTCGATGCAGTCCTTGTCCTTGCAGACGGTCCGCGGCATATCAAGTTGTTTAGAGCGTAGATGCCTCTTCTCTATATGAAGCCGATCTCTTAGCTTTTCTCCCGTGACACGGGTGTCCGTCACTGTAAAAGTTCGAGTTAGCGAATATTTTAATTAAAACTTGCAATTGTTCATATTTTAGAAACGCCAAGTAATAAGGTATTCCAAAAGAGTCAAGAAATTTCCACCAGACAAGTAATAGACGTTACGCACTTTCCTTGATTTTATCTTCCGACATAGCAATATTAGCCTTGATGAGCGCCGAAATTTCGGCCATTGGCTTGGTCAAGCTCGCTATCAGCTGCCTTGCGCCGTTGAGACTTATGGTACTTTGAACTTTATGCGGGGTCTTGGACTTGAAATAATCAATAAGGCGCAGTGTCTCCATCCTCGAATGCTTCCAACTACGTCGAAAGTCCTCCTCGTTCTCCATCACCGTCCCGTTCTTGAATGCAGCAAGATAACGGAAGCTCTCTGAGTCGAAGCAATATGTTGTATGAGTTGTCAGTGATAGACCAATATCAGCGTGCTTCTGTATCAGAGTGCTAAGCGGCCCAAATGTATCACCGGGAGTGTAGTTGGAGATCCGTGTGTTAGTGAAGCCAAATGCCATGTTGTTTGCCGCCGAGCGGTGGAGATGCGTTAACAATTCTTTCATGCAAAAGTTGAAGGTGACGGTCAATCTCGCATTGTTCGACTTTACCAGGATGAGTATGCCGTGTAAGTCATCATAACTACTTAAAGTTGATAGTATATCGGCCATGTTCTTCTTGTCGTATTGAATCCCCCGTGTATCCCCGATACCAGGTGTGTCAATTAGCCGAATTGTGCGGTTGCCAATAGTGACAGGATAGACGGTAGTTCGCTGTGTAGCTGACGCTCCTTTGCTGCCATCATGTTCATCATCCCTCGTACCGACCTGGATTTTGATCTGCTCGATAGCTCCATCTGGTCGATTTCTGTCCATGATCTGCGTGGAGAAGGAACATGGTATAACCCAATTGAGACCCTCTTCTGC